ATTTCAGGAAGCAGTATAAATGTATATAATTTGAAGACACGTGTTATTTTTTAATTATGGACGGAACAGCGTTTAGGAGAAAATTGGTACTTGTTTTTTGTTCTCAAATTCTCATTATTTGGGGGTTCGTAAAACGATATTTTCTTTAAGTTTCCTTCTGAGCGTTTGGGGCACATTGAGAACATCGAGGGCCACAAGAGGCTCTTGAGCCATTCACTTACTTACATCTATTTTTAGTCTACTTTCCTTATTTTGAAAAATAGAATGGAGCTTGCGAGATTAATGTCTCTCCCCTCTCCAGCGTTGAAAACTAACAGCTCTGTAAAACATTCCCGCTGCAACGAACACACACGCAACAAGGGATGAACTGCTGGACGCGATATCGTCTGCGGTCAGTGTTGTATCAGATACTCAATACGAAGTGAGCAGAATAAAATTAGTTATTTAAAATATTTACCGCGCCAATATATTTCATTGCGACACGAAGGCGCGCCTGGTCTCGTGACATAGGGGAGCTGCGCGTTGCAGATAGGGTGGAGAAGTTGGCAGCCGGCTTGAACCGCCACCACTTGCTTTCAGTCTTTCCCTGAGCCAAGTACAGACTTTCTAACGGTCCAAACTCCTTCCTCCACCGTGTTTACATACACTCAATGGTCCTCAAACAAAAAACATATTCCGTGGCCTGTAGTCCGCAAGCGAACTGCACCTACCCAATGACGGCCGCTTTTCGGCGAAGTTAGTGCGAAATTTTCGGATAGAGGGTGCCGCGTGTTCAGCGCAACGGATCCTCACTGCCGTTAATCTCGTTTTTTAGACCGGAGCCGCTATTTCCTTGAAATAGCTCCTCAATTATCCTAACGAGGCTGAGTGGACACAGTTCCAGACCCACTAGTTCTCAGAAAATCTAGTAGCGCCGGGAATCGAACCCGGGACCTCGGGATCTCTAGGCAGGAACGCTGACCACTAGACCACAGAGGCGGTCCTTAGTAGTCCTCGTACTGCCAAATTTCACGTAAACCGTGCAGAATGGAGACCTCGCTATAGTAATGCGAGAAAACGAATATACTGCTTCATCTGTTATGGGAACGAGAGTGCTTCATCATGAGTTAGTGACGTAGACAGCTACGTCATCATTAGGCAGGTTTTTTTTTTTCCTTGGCACTACAGCCCCAGTGGGCCTAGGCCTACCTCCATGAACTTCTCCGTTCACTTCGGTTTTTCTAGATCTTGGACATACGGTAGGACACCTTGGGCGGGTGATCAGCTCATCGCAAGGCCTCTACCTGTACACAAACACAGAAAAACGCACACACACAAACTAAACATTCATGGCCTGAGTGGGATTCGAACTCACGATCCCGGTTTCCAAGCGAGCGAAGACAGTGCATGCCTTAGACCGCTCGGCTACCGTGACCGGCACATTAAGCAGTTGCTACTGCTTATTTTCGTAAGACTTCCGGTATTCCTGCATCGGTGGGAAATTCAGACATACTTACACTTCCACGGAGATGCCTAAATAAGTATGGCGTACGTTGGTTCGTAGAGCAGATAGGCTTTATTGCAGCAACTCACTGAGTGCTTTGTTGCCTAACGCGGCCTGCATAGATTCGGTCACCCCTACAGGACCAATTTCCTCTTGTTTGTTTTCTCAGGGGGTGGGAAAAATAATGATCGAAGGGTTGACATGGTCCGTTAGTTCGAAGCTCTCCACTTCACAGCCACTTCATTATACAACATGGCGCGGGGTGATACCAAATCTGAAAATCAATAGCTGAGGGTTAACATTAATTTTGTCTGTATGAAAGTTATTGGAGACTGACTCTGACGATTCTGATGACAAGAGCCATCCAGCGGTATCCATCCTGAGCCATATCAATCCAATCCATACCATTCCATTCTTTCTATCTGAGATCCATTTTAATATTGTCCACCCAAATACGCCTTGGTCTTCCGAGTCACCTCCTTCCGTCCGGCCTTCCCACCGATATCCTGTATGCATTTCTCCTCTACCCAATTCATGCTACATGCCCTGCCCATCTCAATCTCCTTGACTTGGCCATTTTAATTATACTTGGAGAAGAGTACAAGTTATGAAATTCCTCATTATGCGGTTTTGTCATGGTATGGAACACCAAATTTAATATATCTGTCCTGTTAAGGGTTGTCACTGTGATGTGTCTGTCAGCATGGGGTGTAATGGACACCGAATTGCCGTCTAGTGTACGGCATACCTTGTTTATCTTAGGAAAAGCATGATAAGGAATTTGGCTTCCTATTGCTCGTAACCATTTTGACATCAAACGTATATGGCTCCCAATCACGTGCAGCAGGTGTAAGCCACGGTTTAGAGCTGTAAAGTTGTCACAAACGTTGCAATGAATATGACGCAGTATAATCTGGTAGATTTGTGCCGCTGTTTCGGAGGAACCTGTTATCTCCATCATGAGCGCAGAAGAGTGTGAACAAAGTACTTTGGGTTTGAAGTTCTCCTACTGTACGAATTGTACAACCTGTGAGTTGTTACTAAACCAATAACTAATCCGAACCCCGTCTCTAGTCATAAATACACGTGACACTACAATCCAACACGGCGTAATCTGTGCTACTGACTACGTCCTTACACTAACCGTAAATAAATAAACAATGGCAATACTTACATTATCATCATCAGTAATCTGTAAGACGACAGATCCACAGTCTCTTCCAAAACAATTGCTCCACTTAATGCGATCTAGAGCTTTCTCCTTCAAATGACAGTATCCTCTTCTGTCCCCAAGGTCATCCAGCATCTTCTTACGTTTTATTCCTCGTCTTCTTGTCACTTCTATCCGCCCATCTATCTTTCCTTCGATAACTTCTTTTAGAAGGCAGTTTCTGCGTAAAACATGACCAATCCAATTAGCCTTCCGTTTACAATTACTATTTTAATCATCAAACTATTATTATTATTGTTGTTATTATAGTTAGTGTCAGAATTCCTTACGATCTGACAGCACTGCTGCTTACGGACCACACGAGGTCACACAATATGAGAAGGATAATTGAGAAGAATTGCTTCCGCTGCAACAGACATGCTTTCCGTTTTAAGGAGTAGACAGGAGCAAGTCCATTCATGTTCCGCGTTCCTGCCACTTGGCATTTTGTAAAGTGATGAGTTACTGTGAAGAAAGCAGTCTTCGGGGATGTGGCACCGTGTAGATGTGGTGTTAACCAACGTTTCAGAGGAACGTGTCGCCTCCATCTTCGGGGTAAAAGGAAAAATAAGAAATCCGCAAGCGAAAAGACCGTGTTCTCAACTCACCGCCATCTGTGAGTCTATTGTCTAGATAATGTGGGAGCCTTGACATCTCACAAACCTATGGGCCCTCACGGTCTGTTACTAGCTTTACCATTTTTTGCCTTACCTTTACCACTTGTAATATTAATGTTATCCAACACAGATTTGAAACGATAGCCGAATGCCCAGCAATTCCAAGGATGCACACCCCCAACCCCCTTCCCAAGTATTGATTGTAAGGAAGTGTGTAAGACGCAGGAGTGAGAGTAGGTGCTCCAACGAACGCTGACCGAACTCACTCCATCACGGAGTTCCATTTAATATTAAAACCACCTGCAGGCACCAGACCGGTGCTGCACCCACTTTCATACGCAGCGCCATATTTAAGAACAGAAATACATAGAAATATTTTCGGAATCTTCTTTGCTGTTAACTTTGTGTTTACTGTTCCGTGAACAATGTTGCTGACATGAAGATCTTTGTGAGCAGATTTTCTGAGAAGTAGTGGGTCTGGAACGGGGTCCACTCAGCCTCGTGAGGATAACTGAGGAGCTTTTGCAATGAAATAGCGGTTCCGGTCTAAAAAAAAAACAAGATTAACGGCCGTGGGGATCCGTTGCGCTGACCACGTGACACCCTCTATCCGCAAAAGTTGGTACTAACTTCGCCGACAAGAGGCGGTCGCTCGGTATAGTTCGCTTGCGGACTCAACTCGCGGAGTTTGTTTGTTTGTTTTTTGTGTTATACAACATAATTTTTCGATATCGGCTCTTAGACGCTAACAATTGTAAGATGCGTCCCAAATTTAAGAATTTTTACAATGTGAAAAAAAGTAGGTCTTGTAATTGAGGAAAGAGAGTGGCTCCACGGGCAAGAAGACCACAACCTTCATACGCATCGCTGTAAGAAACTCACTGAGCACAAGCCAGGAAAACGTATGGGGTGGAAGCACATCTCCACGCATTCTTCTTACCACGAAGGTTGGTGTAGCAACACTGCTCTAGATTTGTATGCTGGAGGTGCTTGGTCCCCATCTCGGCCAGGATATCGGTTATCGTAATTGAGATTTTTGTTTTGTGGCTTTTCTTAGTCCCACCAAGCAAATGCCGGAATACTTCGATACTGTCAGGGCCGTTTACTTCGAAATCCTTTCCAATTCTTTAATCACCAACTTCCTACTATTTGATGCTATACAGTTTTTCCCCTGACAGAGTCGTAAAGTAAAGCTCAAACCACAAAGTTCACATATTCTTCTCCCTTGCAATATATATAGCTAAGTGCTTAGCTTCACGCCCCGGCTTCTTTACCACCGGGAAAAAGATCTCCAAAAAACAAGCAGAGAGAAGACTGAGTTGGTCCCAGAGCAGTTCTGGAAGCTGTGGAGAACGCTCTCTTGTCCCTGCCGTGAATTGAACCCCAACTCCTCGGCTGTCTAGCCCATAGCCTAACGCTGTACCGGCTCCTTTAGCGTAGCAACCGACGCCTAACGTATTCATTCCCACGAACGTAGACCAACGGCCATGATTTGAGGAATATCTTCTGAAAGAATAGTAAAGTTAGAAATGGACCGTGGATGAGAGGAAATTTTTCGAAGGAAATTAACAAAGAATTCGAGCAATAGTGGGAGAAAGATGCAAAATTGTGAGGGGATTCGGCTTTGAGTCTGCGCAGTGGAACAGGGACCTGGTCTCCTGCTTGCTAGCTCGGTAGCCGGCCGAGGGGAGAGTAACGAGGTAGTGGTGGGGTACCACCAGTGGCAGCTCTGCATGGAGTAACAAAGGCCGTAGCAAATTCAAAAAAACTCCCCCCTCAGCAATTGCAGAAGCGAGTTAGTTGAGGTAGCTGCTGCAGTCTGGTAGCGTTGGGCGCTGCTGTGAAAGCGCGAAACGAGTTGTTTGATATCACGACTTCCGAAACATTTACGTTTTGTAACAAAAGGATTATAAAAAGTGCCTATGGTGTTGTTAGAATACAATATCCGATGTGCTTAAGGACTTATTTGTTTTGAAAAGCAAATTTGTAGTTTAGTGATTCCTTGTTGTGTTAGTTCCGTTGTGTGCATTTTCAATGTGTTTGATGTAAGCAAGCTTGGAACACCAAGCCAAAAGAACTCGAGTAAGCCAGTGCAAATTCAAGCCCCGTAAGGCTAGACTTTTCAGGACATCTGGAAGAAGGTCGCCTGAAGAGGTAAGAGGCTTTAATGTGCTTTACTTAAGAGGACGAAAAGCGCAGATCTGGTATGTAGTCAACAAACTACAGTAAGGGTCTCAAACTCAAATCGTAAGCAGGTCAAATGGAAACTTTAGAAATCTGGTGTGTCGTACGTTATTTCTATTAGCAGAGTTAAGTATTTTGCTGACAATTAAACACACTATTAAGATTAGTCCATTACATTATTACCGCAATTTGCACGATTCAAAGATACACGTTCTAAGAATCCACGTCAGCAAAATATACTGTATATGACTAAATCTAAAGGAAAATCTTGATGTCATTGTTACACCAATGCTCATTGTTGTGTCTTTAAGTTTAAAGGTGCGTCATACAATCCATGGTGTCGGAAAATCGAGAAAGTGCATTATTATCATCATCAGTTTAAAACTGCACGACACTGTGTCGTCTGACATATGTTTACCTTATAATCATCCTCACGATTACATAACCGGTACAACAACCCCTTCAAGAAATTAAGGAATAACTGTTAGATTTTATGCTACATATATTTTTTATTGCTAGTGGGGTGGGACTAAGTCCCTTGTACTGCGGCCACTTCTGGCCTATTGTACCAGCCCCAGATGATAGGTGAGGGTGATTGTGGAGCAATTGGAGGAATGAAGATTGGCAAGGGAAACCGAAGTTCTCGGAGAAAACCTGCTCCAGCGCCACTTTGTCCACCACAAATCTCACTTGAAAAGACCCGGGATCGAACCCGGGCCGCCGCGGTGGGAAGCCAGCGACTAAACGCTTGAGCAATGGCGCAGCCTTACAGACATTATACTATTGGTCAAATCTCGTCGTAGGTACCGTTTAGACTGGCTGTGGCTTGGCATTAGACCGGTAGAGGATTTTGATCCTGAGTGAGTTACGTATGATCGCCTCTGTGGTCAGCGTTCCAGGCTACAGATCCAATGGTCCGGGTTCGATTCCCGGAGCTACCAGATTTTTTCTGATAAGTAGTGGGTCTGGAACGGGTTGCACTAAGCCTCGTGATGATAACTGAGGAGCTATTTCAAGGAAATAGCGGCTCCGGTCTAGAAAACCGAAATTAACGGCCGTGGGGATTAGTTGCATCGACCACGCTACACCCTCTATCCGCAAAAGTTGACACTAAACTTCGCCGACAAGCGGCGGTCGCTCGGTCGGTATAGTTCGCTTGCGAACTAAAAACACGGAGTTTTTGTGTGTGTGTGTGTGAGTTACGTATAACTGGAAACCACCGTCATTACCGATTTCATGAGTGCTGCTGTCAGTCGAGTTCGGCTTTGCGTCTTATTATTGCTTACGAAGGAAAAAATATTCACACATGCTAGCTGCCGAGCTTTACAGGTACTCATTTAACACAAAATGCCTGGGTGCAAGAAAACTTTATTATGGCAAATACAAGGCAGAGTCAGCAAATATGTCACAAATTGATATAAAACGTAAATATGTGATATTGAAACCTGGAATAATATTCACCAATATTCACCAATATTGATACACTTGTCACGTCGCTTTATTAGTTCGTCGAAACTCGTAGCATAGAAGTCTTTTTGACCGACGTCTCAGCCACTTCCGCACCTCCGTTTCAACTTCATCAGTAAAATATTTGCCAACAAGATCGTTTTTAGGGGGGGGGGAATTTCTCGACCCAGTTGTGAACCACTTTACGCGACAAAGTCTTCCCATCGTAAAGAGGAAACTTTTTTATGAATATCTTTCGCATTGAGCCTTTTTTGTCCACAAAAATTGCAAAACAACGCTGCTCATCGGTAGTATACACTCAAGCACGGTCGCCATTTTGACTACTAAAACCAGCCTCTGAACATGCGCATCTGCTACCTAGACTTCATTTGCTGTCAAAAATGATTGTAAATACAGAAAGGCCTAGACAATGCCCATCCACCCCGGTACCTAGACTGGTCATGAAGCTCGACTGTACTGCTACCTAGTGATACACATAGAAAACCTATTATATCTGTTGCAGCTATTCCACTTTCACCTGTTTACTGTCTCTCTCGTAAGAAAAATCATCTCGNTAAGGAAGACACTGAAATGACTCCAGAAATTTTTCAAACGGAATTAAACAATCTGCTTGTCAAACCAACCTGAACCAAATGGTTTCAGAAACAAAATTGCGAGATCGTCTTCTGGGTTTAGGAGCCGTGTATTCTTCGTTTTGGCTGACGTTTCGGAGGATCGTATCGCCTCCATCTTCAGAGCAGTTGAATGGCTTGGAATGCAGAGAGCAGTAGCTGCAGCTACTGCACTTACTATCACTACAGCTACTGCTCTCTGCATTCCAAGCCATTCAACTGCTCTGAAGATGGAGGCGATACGATCCTCCGAAACGTCAGCCAAAACGAAGAATACACGGCTCCTAAACCCAGAAGACGATCTCGCAATTTTGTTTCTGAAACCATTTGGTTCAGGTTGGTTTGACAAGCAGATTGTTTAATTCCGTTTGAAAAATTTCTGGAGTCATTTCAGTGTCTTCCTTAAAAGGATCATTGAACAATAGACATTCAAGTGTCATAATTTCGAATCCCTGGAACCGATCGTCGAACTCATCTCGTAGCAGAAAAATGATCCAGGAATATTCTTGAATACGTTCAAGAGAAGTAGGTCTTGTGGATTTCTGGTGCGGAAACTAAACACGGTTATGTACACTTAATTGATCGTTCCGCAATCGAAGCGTAGCTTTCGAAGGCCTAATGCTTTCAGATATTTCTAATGAACTTGTGTTTACATTTTAACCATTGTTATGAGAGTTAAAGTGAACTCCCACGTCCACAAAAGGCTGGATCATGTACCAATGATTCATCATCTATTTATTTCTTGTCCAAGACTAATTTGATCTCGTTCAGTAAATAAGTAAAAAAGACTGCAAAACAGATTGTGACAACCATATCACATTTGTGTGGTAAATTATTTCACCATGTTCATTTTTATTTCCCCCCCAATAATGATACAAGTTCCTGAGGGCTGCAACTCTAAACAACTTAATCTTAATCATATCACAAGAAACGCTATGCTGCCACCTATGAGTGTGCCACACCGGACTCAACATATTATATGAAAAGCCATGGACTGAAACTTACAAATTTATGCAAATAACAAAACCATTATGTACGCGGTACTACTGTCGGTATCAGTGATAGGATCAGTGGACACTTGTAAGAATAGAATGCACATTTTCAGCAACAGTATCCTTTGCGTGAGTTGTCTTGAAACTTTTTCAATATAATGCTTCTTGATATTAATAACTCGTACTCTTCTCCAAGTATAATTAGGATGATCAAGTCAAAGAGGATGATATGGGCAGGGTATGTAGCACGAATGGAGGAGAAGAGGAATGTATATAGGAATATTGGTGGGAAAGCCAGAAGGAAAGAGACCACTGGGAAGACCGAGACGTAGGTGGGTGGACAATATTAAAATGGATCTTAGAGAGATAGGATGGGATGGTATTGATTGAATTGATCTGGCGCAGGATAGGGACCAGTGGAAGGCTCTTGTGAACACGGTAATGAACCTTCGGGTTCCATAAAATGCTGGGGAATTCTTGAGTAGCTGCAGAATTGGCGGCTCCTCCAGCGGGGCTCAGCTCCATGAGTAAGTAAGTAAGTAATTAATGCTTCTTTATGATGAATTCGGGTAAATAGAAGGCAACTGTAAACTTTCCCCTGTGCATAACTAATTAAACAGTATCTCATGAAAAAAATATGGGTGAGTGGAGAATGTAGTTCCAACATTACTGACATCGGCACTAGATAGAGGCGAGTAGTCAGCTTCAAACCCCGGCCGCTAGGGTAGGAGGCTGGGTGGGTCCCCGAGTCGGTCTGGACGCTATGGAGAAAAGAAAAAATGTTGCCCTTGTCGGGAATCGATCCCCGGCCGTACAGCTTGCAGCCCGTCGCTATACCGAGTGAGCTAAAATGACTCCCCGATGGAAAATCAGTGGAGACTAAAGAAATATTTAATTTTCTTTTTAAATTTCGCTGCAGCACCATTCCTTTTAACAATTGAAGTCCCGTCACTGACAAACCCAACCACTTTTCATAATATAGTTCTTATCTGCTGAGAACATTCACCAATTCGGAAAATAAGTTTCATCGGCACTTTCTATGTCTTTCATAAAATAAAAGTAAAGCTATCCCTGTAACTGGCCGTGGAGGCCCATAGGGTTGTGAGACGTTGAGGGTCCCACATCTTCTAGACAATCGGCTCACAGATGGCGATAAGGTTGTCAGCCTTACGCGTCGGCCACCTTTAACCCCCAACAGTATTCCTGGTACTCATTTCTCTTAAGAGACTGAGTCGATCCCAGGGCCATAGTGTGATTGGAAGGATTAGGTAAACTGAAAAAAATCCACCTCATCGGGATTCGATCCCGCGACCTTCCGGCTTATAGCATAGTGCCTCAACCAACTACGCTACTTAGCTTCTTCACTTCATTCTTAACCCTCCCGACATTCGACACAGCCTAACCTAATAAGTTCAGTAATAAATATCTTCCCGTGTAGATGAGGAGTACATAGGCTGGAGTTCTGTAGGTTTGCCTTTTAATATTGTCTATTATAGACTTTTATAGTAAACCGGGAACCTGATCTGATCTGTCCAGTCTTTTGAGTTCAGAAGTATTTACACTCCAAAAGGCGGTCCCAGTTTCACAGCCTCGCTCCATAATTACTACGCAGTTGGCCCGAAGCTTTCCCAGAGCTACTTCAGTCCTGAGAAAAATCGATACGAGAAAATCACATCAGCAGATCCCAAGATGGGCCACAGTCCGTCAGCTTGTAGAAAGGACAGGCCGCCGACTGCATGCAGGCTTCAGTTGTTTTTACTTGATACAAAGAAATTATAACAGGTAGCGTGATGTACTCATTTTGCACAGCAGTGTAACAGCAAGTTTCCGTCTGCATGTAAATGAAATTTATCGTTTTCCTCTGTTACAATTTCACTGAAAGGAGTAAATGGAAACGTAA